TTTTGTGAAAAAAAAGTTTGGGACATGGGTTTTAGGCATGTCCCACACATTTAATTTTTTTTTAAAACTCTTCCTCAGATGCAAGTAAGACTTGCGTCTGAAGTATTTATACGTCAACCGCATTTACGAAATGCGGCTGATGTATTCTTCCAGTACCCATGAAAACGCATGTAAGAGATGCGTTTTGCGTATTATACGTCAAACGCATCTCGTACATGCGTTTAGGCCGGCCAGGGAAAACGCGTGTGAAAGATGCGTTTTAGATAATTTTGGCTACAAATAATTTCGGCTCAAATTGCTGTTTCCGCTAGGGACGCCTAAAATGTTGGACTTTGCACCGGCGCCGGAGAGAAGTCATTATGCAATGCCCTAGATGTTGGACTTTGTGTCAGAAATGTCGGAGTTTGGAAGGTAGGCGCCGGAGAATAGGCACTATGCATTGCCGACGATTCCAGGCTCTGTGGAGGCAAGATCGGAGTTGCATGGAAGGTGGTGCTGGCGAAAAGTCGTCGTTTTGCAATGTCGAAGTTGTATGGAAGGTAGGCGGTGATGAAAAATCGCTATTATGCCCGGCGGTTGCGGGTGGACTTGGTGCAGAAAACGTCGGTGCGATGGATTGATTTTGCGATGAACTTCCCGGCGTGGCTGGGAATGTCGTCGGAGCCACGGAAAACATGTCCAGAGGTTGGAAAGCGTCGGGATGTGGGGCTGTGGTCATCGGAAATTCTTCTTGAAGAAAAGGATTATAGTGACGATGAGGAGGAGGTGCCGACATTGGTTGGCTAACTTGGCTTTGATTGTACAACGCGTCTAACGATAATGAGTCTAGACTTTTATTAGCCGGCGGTAATGGCGAGGAAACCGGATCAAACAAGCTTTCGAAATCAAATTTCGACGGTGGTGGCGCCGCCGCCTCTTGCGGCGGTGTTTCGAATAATACAAGGTCCCAGCCGGCGGCTGCATCATTATTTAGTCTCGGAAACAGCAATTTGAGCCGAAATTATTTGCAGCCGAAATTATCTGAAACGCATCTTTCACACGCGTTTTCCCTAGCCGAAGGCCGGCTAGGAAACGATAACTAAAACGCATGTACGAGATGCGTTTGACGTATAATAGGCAAAACACATCTCTTACATGTGTTTTCATGGGTACTAGAAGAATATGTCAGCAGCATTTCGTAAATGCTGTTGACGTATAAATACTTCATAAATACTTCAGACGCAAGTAAGACTTGCGTCTGAGGAAGAGTTTAAAAAAAAAAAATTAAATGTGTGGGACATGCCTAAAACGCATGTCACAAAGGTTTTTTCACAAAATTGTTCACCACAAAGCACCGTCATATTTTGGGAAATAAGAAGGCTAAAGTTCATATTTTAGTCTTTTTTCCCACTCCATGTTGACCTGCTTTGAGAGAGAGAGCCGTAAGCCGTTGCTTATCAATATCTGGAACGCCACGGTCAACAGGGACCCACCTTGTGCTGCTTGATGCCGTTGAGCTTCCCTTCTCTTTTCCGTTCCGGAACCTCCATTAGCGTCCATTATTTTTTATTTTATTTTATTTTATTTTCACTCTAATGGGAAATGATAAGGTTGGCCTTCCAATTTAATGCCTATTTGACATAAAATATAGCATAGGACCACGGATGGTAAGTTTTTAAAACTTGGAGGACGTCTCGTGGTCGTTTAAAAGTCAACCACAGTTGGTATATGGCTAATCTTATTCTCTAGAATTTATTTTCTGATATGGCGGGCGCTAATAGGTTATTGGTTATTTTCTTCATGTGGGCGCTAATAGATTATTTTGTAGACATTAACAAAATATGATACATTTATTGTGTTCATATTTACTGCAAAAAGCATGCTTGCAAATCTCGATAATCACATTTTAAATTACAAATAACTATTACAATCTCCAAGACAAACATTAATTGTTGAGAGATAAATTCAAAATTCAGAATCAATACCTACACCTACTTCAAAAATGTGAACACAATAAATGCATTCTATCAAAATACTCATTTTACATCTTGTAATTATAATATAATTTAACTATTTAGCCGTGCATCGCACGGGTGACATACTAGTGATAATAAAAGTAAGAATGAATCACAATGACAAAATAATAATGTTAGGTCACTTTTTGTTCTCAAGTTCCACGAAAAACAAAATACCGCCACTTCCCTTTGAATGAATAACAAAGGCAAAATAGTTATAAGTCATTGAACCAAAAAAATCTCATCTTCCTCAAATTTAGGAAAATCTTTTCCTTTACAAAAAAGTTTTTCATCCAACCAATTACTCCCGGTATTTTTTTTTCATGGAAAACTAATATGACAATTTTGTCTTCAGTGATTTTTCTTATGAGTACTACTAACTCTTTCTAGGCTTGAACTCACAACCTTCCACATAAGTAACTTGGTACCAGCGGACCACAAGGTCCTTGATTACCCTTATTTTTATTATTGTGGAGGGATATATTGATTTTTATACTCATTATTTCTTAGAGTTCCAAATCCAACCAAACAGTAATTTCAATATTCTTAGTAATTTATTTTTTACCAATCTAATAATGTAATAAATTTTTCCTGTAATTTATTTTCAATGAAATTTTAATTATATTCCTCTTCAAATATTTTCAACAAACCAAACAGGCGTATAAAATTTACAAATTTTTTTGAAAAATTTAGAAGATAATACTGCACTAATAAAATAAAATAAAATAAGCAGTAGGCCATGTCTACTTTTGAATTATTGCACCAACAGGCCATGTCTACTTTTGAATTATTGCACCAACAATGGATACTTTAGAGCTGGAAAGCTAAATGTTAAAAAACGCTGTCGGCAAGGAATTATTGTACTGATCAGATCAGTAGCATTACCCAATTCCACTCAATCACTCATCTTTTGCTTCTGTTAATCTTCACACCTACACAGAGATAGAGAGAGAGAGAAAAGAATGGCTTGTGTAGCTGTAAATTCTCTTATCACAACATTAGAGCTTGAGTTCTTGCAACCTCACCCTCGTCCATTCCTACAACAATTGGAACTCATCCCTTTTAACAAAGACCTCATCCAATCTCTCCATGCAAAGCTTGGTTTTCTTATACAACTGTTCGATGAGAGCAGAATGGATGGTGTTGAAGCAATTAAAGACTTGGAAACAAAGCTCAAAGATGTAGCTTTCAGAGTAGAAGATGAAATTGAACTCCATGTGGTAGATCTCTATAAAGAAGCTAACAAGAAAAAGAGACGAGGGGACACTGAAGCGAAAAAAACCCAGTATCCTCATACACTTAGTCATGTATTGCAAAAAGCAATAGAAGACATTGATACCATTAAAGAAGAGCTGGAGAAATTCATGATGGAGTACAAGCATGTCGTAGCTGTGCAAGGAAGGAAGACTACACTTGTTGATGTTATTCCAAAATCTGATGATGAACTTGTCAGGATGGACGGTTCCTCCAATCATGCTCCACACAGTGAGGATATAATGGTTGGGAAAAACAATGAATTCGAGATTATAAGGAAGATGCTAATACAACATCCATCTAAACAACGAGAAGTTGTCTCAATTCAAGGTATGGGAGGAATCGGCAAGACAACGTTAGCTAGACGAGTTTATGAAAATCGATCAATTGTCTCCCACTTTGATAGACGACTATGGGTTGTTGTATCACAACATCACAATAAGAGGCAAATGATCTTAGGTCTTCTTGGTTCTAAAGACAATGTAAACAATAGCAGTGATGGGGACCTAGCACTACGACTCTACCAAAGTTTGAAGGGTCAAAGGTACTTGGTAGTGATTGATGATGTATGGAGCAGAGAGTCATGGGATGATGTTAACTCTTGCTTTCCAGATGATATAAATGGGAGTCGAGTATTGTTGACTACTCGCATTGCAGAGGTGGCTACTTGTATTGGCTCTAACAATTACTTTTCGCATCAAGTGCAGTTTTTAGATCAAAGTGAAAGTTGGGAATTATTTCATAAAAAGGCATGCAAATCTCATGGTGTTGAATTTGAGACAATTTGAAGACCAATTGTTGAGAAATGTAAAGGACTGCCCTTGGCAATTCTTGTGATAGCAGGTTTATTTTCAAAACTCGATACACTTGATGAGTGGAAGAAAACTGCTAATGCTCTAATAAGTTCTACTTCAACATCAACTCTAGATGATGAAGAATGTTGGAGAATCCTCTCATTCAGTTATAGTCACTTGCCTCATAATTTGAAAGCTTGTTTTTTATATTTAGGAGTTTTTCCAGAAGATGATGAGATCAATGCTAACAACCTTGCAAGGTTATGGGCGGCCGAAGGACTGGTAAAGGCATTTAAGAATGAGAGTTTTGAAGCGGTGGCTAAAAGGTACATAAATGAACTTATGGATAGAAACTTAATTCTTGTAAGCACAAGAAGTAGTTGTGGGAGAAAAATTAAGGAGTTTAGAGTACATGATTTATTGCATGCCTTTTGTGTAAGAGAAGGTCAAAGCCAGAGTCTTTTGCATGTTGCTGCCGAAAGTGGTTCCAATTTCCCTCAGAGAAGTGTCCGTTGGATAATTGTGTCAGAGTTTAACATCTCTGTGTTACATTCTCTGTCAAAACACTGCCGGTCCATCTTTTATTTTCAGCAGCGGCCCAAACATTCAATAAATTTGGAAAATTTCAGCCTACTGAGGGTACTCTATGTTGTTGAAATGAATTCGCGAACTTCGACTGTTCATATCCATTTGAGATACCTATGGATAATGAGGCCTTCACTTTATTTTCATGGTTCATTAGTCTCCAACGCTTGGAATCTTCAAACATGTAGTGCTGATATAAGTTTGGGCCATTTGAAGTTTCCACAACTACAGTATATACACTGTCGTGAACCTTTTGGATCTTTACCCAAATCTGTTCATCAAAACTTGCAGGTCATTTCTAGTTTGCAGGCTTGTCAATGCGATCAAGAGTCCTTAACAAAAGTTCCATACCTAAAGAAGGTAACTATTATTATAAGGGAAACCGATGATTGCATTAAGAACCCTGTCTGTTTACCGCAGCTCGAGAGTTTGTCTCTTTGTGTTGTTACCGAGGGAATTTCGGATATGATGGCTCAAATCATTAACAATATTCTTCTCTTGAAAAACATTAGGAAGCTGATGTTTCGTAAAATGAAATGTGAGTGGAAGGTAATTAATGTTTTGAGCAAGTTACCAAGGCTTGAGGTGCTCAAGTTACATGCTGACCTTGGCAAAAAGTGGGAAGTACCAGAGAATGTGAAATTCTGCCACTTAATTTGTTTGAAAATTTCGAATCGTAATCTCAAGCATTGGGAAGTTGGTGCTGATAATTTTCCAAAACTTGAGCGCCTATTCCTTAACGGATGCATTGAATTGAGAGAGATCCCGAATAGCTTTGCAGAAATTCCAACATTGAACTTAATCCAATTAGAGATGTGTCTTCATTCTGCAGTGATGTCAGCCAAGCAAATTGAGGCTGAACAGCATGACTATGGAAACGAGAATATGGTTGTCATTGAGAAATACACAATAAAGGTCTTTCGATCAATCTCCATTTCTTTTTCTCAATTGCTTTTTGTTCGATCTCCTTTAATTTTTCTCCCAACATCATTTAGTTTCATCACATCCTAATTTGTTTTCATTGATTCATGAAATCCTCGCTCTCTAGCTTGAAGATTACCCGGATGAAGATGAGGAGTGGATGATGCAAAGCTATAGCAAAGATAGACTCTAAAGCTGCAAATTAATTGCAATACTGATGATCGGATCGGCCCACGTAGAGCCAAAATCCAATAAAAGAAGGGTGTGGGAAGAGCAGATGGTTTTTGCAATTTTGGTGTTTGAAATGGTTTCTGGTTCACAGCTTCTTCAGCTGCAAATTTGAATTGGGTATGGATTACTATATTAAATTACTGTCTTGTATCTGCTTCTAGGAATGAACAATATAATCTGCTGGATTTAAGGCTTGCTAGACATATGGATTTAAGAATTGTATAAATATTTTGATCTGCTATCTGATCAACAATATTAATAGTGATGAATTATCTTTAACTTCAAAACGTAGCTGCATTATATTAGCTTGATCTAATATTTATAATCAGAGTAAGCTACCCACCCCTCCAAAATTTTCTCTAACAATCTTCCCCTCATTACATGGCATTTTCTAATTGAGTAATTAACTTTCTTTTTAATTAATAGTGCGGGGCAAAAACTTGTGTGAAATCACATCACGGATCCTTATCGTGATATGAATCGAGTTGTAGACAATCGGGTAAGATGCTCAATGAAGACACACTTTGCAAATATCACAATTTTAGACTTTTAGTGATAAGTATTACAATATTTATCATCAGTGTAACAATCAATTTTATCCTAAATAATTAAGTATCACAATTTCAATTGTCTTCCTTCTGCCATGATGTCACCCAAGCAAATTCAAGCTGAGCAGCATGACAATAAAGATCTCTCACCCTTAGGGGTCGTTTGGTTCACGGAATGTCAGATTACCTTGGGAATGTTAGATTACTGGGAATGTTAGATTCCTGTGTTTGGTTAAAATTGGGGTATGTAATATAATCATATTTGGTTTAGGGTTATCTTTTATTCACACACCATAATATCCTTAATATATTTTCATATATTTTAATAAATTTAAAAATTAAAATAAATAATTAAGATAACGGTATCATATATAATTACATGATTTTAAAATATTAACTAAAATATTGAACTGGGAAACAAAATTATTTTATATGCTAACCTAACATAATAAAAATAAAAAATATATAATTACAAAAATAATTATATATATATATATATATGTGTGTGTGTGTGTGTGTGTGTAATAAACTAACATAACTAAGGTTATCTTACATAACCTTAGAATTTGAAGGGAATCACATTCCCTTCAAAATCCTATGTGGAGGGAATGTGACATTCCTGGGGAATGTTAGATTCCCTGAGGTAATATGAACCAAACATAGGAATGTGAGCTTTGGAATGTCACATTTCCTTGGTTATGTTATATAACCTGAACCAAACGCTCCCTTACTCTTTCTCAATGGCTTTTCATTTCACTCTCAAACATCATTTAGTTTCATCATATTATTCACTCTCGAACATGCCGATACTTTATTTAATTAACTCACAATATTGGTTTAGCATTGAGAAAGTGGTGGGTACAAGCCATGAAAAGTCTGTGTGTTTAATTGTTTAATTTCTTTAACAACTTTGCACATGGACAACTAAAACATATGCCACATAAAAAATTCACCCATTTAATTATATTACCCATTTGCACATGCAGACAACACATATGGCACACATAAACAAATTTTCGCTAGCTGTAAAATTCCACTAAACATTAAACAATTGCAGCTCATATTATGTTCTCATTATCTAAATCTAATCTTTACAAACAACTCATCTCTTGCAACAAACACCTTCATTCTCCACAAAAAGCTCAGATTTCTCCAATCTCCAATATCTCACGTCAATGGTCTTTCGCATTACCCAATTCCATTCATCTTGCTTCTGCTAATCTTCACACCTACACCAACAGAGATAGAAAGAGAGAGAAAAGAATGGCTTGTGTAGCTGTAAATTCTCTTATCACAACATTAGAGATTGAGTTCTTGCAACCTCACCCTCGTCCATTCCTACAAGAAATGGAACTCATCCCTTTTAACAAAGACCTCATCCAATCTCTCCATGCAAAGCTTGGCTTTTTGATACAACTGTTCGACAAGAGCAGAATGGATGGTGTTGAAGCAATTAAAGACTTGGAAACAGAGCTCAGAGATGTAGCTTTCAGAGTAGAAGATGAAATTGAACTCCATTTGGTAGATCTCTTTAAAGAAGCTGACCAGGAAATGGGACAAGGGGACGACGCTGAAGCCAAGAAAACCCAGCATTCTCATAGACTTAGTCATGTATTGCAACAAGCAATAGAAGACATTGATGCCATTAAAGAAGAGCTGGAGAAAGTCATGATGGAGTACAAGCATGTCGTAGCTGTGCAAGGAAGGGAGACTACACATGATGATGATGTTATTCCAAAATCTGATGATGATTTTATCAAGACGGACGATTGCAGTTCCTCCAATCATGCTTCACACACTGAGGACATAATGGTCGGGAAAAACAATGAGTTCGAGATTATAATGAAGATGCTAATACAACATCCATCTAAACAACGAGAAGTTGTCTCAATTCAAGGTATGGGAGGAATCGGCAAGACAACGTTAGCTAGACGAGTTTATGAAAATCGATCAATTGTCTCCCACTTTGACAAGCAAATATGGATTGTTGTATCACAACATCACAATAAGAGGCAAATGCTCTTAGATCTTCTTGGTTCTAAAGACAATCTAAAAAACAGCAGTGATGCGGACCTAGCATTACAGCTCTACCAAAGTTTGAAGCGTCAAAGGTATTTGGTAGTGATGGATGATGTATGGAGCATAGAGTCATGGAATGCAGTTAACTCTTGCTTTCCAGATGATATAAATGGGAGTCGAGTATTGTTGACTACTCGCATTGCAGAGGTGGCTACTTGTATGGGCTCTAACAATTACTTCTCCCATCAAATGCACTTATTAGATCAAAGTGAAAGTTGGGAATTATTTCATAAAAAGGGATGCAAATCTCATGGTGCTGAATTTGAGACAATTGGGAAACCAATTGTTGAAAAATGTAAAGGACTGCCTTTGGCAATTGTAGTGATAGCAGGTTTATTTTCAAAACTCAATACACTAGATGAGTGGAAGAATGCTGCTAATGCTCTAATAAGTTCTTCAACATCAACTCTAGATGATGATGAATGTTGGAGAATCCTGTCATTGAGTTATAGTCACTTGCCCCATAATTTGAAAGCTTGTTTTTTATATTTAGGAGTTTTTCCAGAAGATTATAAGATCAAAGCTAACAACCTTGCAAGGTTATGGGCTGCGGAAGGACTTGTAAAGGCATTCAAGAACGAGAGTTTTGAAGCGGTGGCAAAAAGGTACATAAATGAACTTATGGATAGAAACTTAATTCTTGTAAGCGAAAGAAGTAGTTGTGGGAAAAAAATTAAGGAGTTTAGAGTACATGATTTATTGCATGCCTTTTGTGTGAGAGAAGGTCAGAACCAAAGCCTTCTGTATGTTGCGAATGAAAGTGGTTCCAATTTCCCTCAAAAAGGTGTCCGTTGGATAAGTGTGTCATTTCAAAATTTTGACATCTCTGCATTACATTCTCTGTCAAAACACTGCCGGTCCATCTTTTATTTTCTGGAGTGGCCCAAACTTTCAATAAATTTGGAATTTTTCAGCCTATTGAGGGTACTCTATGTTATCAAATTCCATTCGCCAAGTGGGACTGTTCATATCCATCTGAGATACCTACGGATATTCGGGAGATTTCTTCTGTATAATTCATTATCCTCCAACGCTTGGAATCTTCAAACATACATTGCGTATGGCCCCTATGGATTGAAACATTTGAAGTTTCCACAACTACAGTATATTCACTGTACTAAACTTTGTGGATCTTTTCCCAAATCTGTTCATCAAAACTTGCAGGTCATTTCTAGTTTGCAGGCTAGTCATTGCGACCAAGAGTCCTTAACAAAAGTTCCATACCTAAAGAAGGTATCTATTATTATAAGCAAAACCAATGATTGCACTAAGGACCTTGTCTGTTTACTGCAGCTTGAGAGTTTGCGTCTTTTGGTTGATACATCTATCATTGGAATTCCGGAGATGACGGCTCAAATGGTTAACAATATTCTTCTCTTGAAAAACATTAGGAAGCTGAGGTTTGAATTTATGAATTTTGAGTGGAATGCAATTAATGTTTTGAGCAACTTACCACGGCTTGAGGTGCTCAAGTTATTATTTGTTTATGACTTTGGCAAAAAGTGGGAAGTACCAGAGAATGTGAAATTCTGCCACTTAATTTGTTTGAAAATTTGTTCTAGTGGTCTCAAACATTGGGAAGTTGGTGCTGATAATTTTCCAAAACTTGAGCGCCTATTCCTTAATGATTGCTTTGAATTGAGAGAGATCCCGAATAGCTTTGCAGAAATTCCAACATTGAACTTAATCCAATTAGAGGAGTGTCATCTTTCTGCAGTGATGTCAGCCAAGCAAATTCAGGCTGAACAGCATGACTCTGGAAACGAGAATATGGTTGTCATTGAAGAAAACACAAGACAGGTCTCTCGATCAATATCCATTTCTTTTTCTCAATTGCATTTTATTTCAGTCTCCTTTAATTTTTCTCCCAACTTCATTTAGTTTCATCACATCCTAATTTTTTTTCATTGATTCACGACAGTTTGGCCCTTTATTTTGAAGATGACTCCAATGAAGGCGAGTTTGATGAAGATGAGGAGTAGATGATGCAAAGCTATAGCAAAGAAAGACTCTAAAGCTGCTAATTAATTGCAATAAAAGAAGGGTGTGGGAAGAGCAGATAGATGGTTGTTAGTTGTGGCTGTTTTTGCAATTTTGGTCTTTGAAATGGTTTCTGGGACACAGGTTATTCAGCTGCAAATTTGAATAGGGTATATATTACTATATAGTCTTGTATTGCAGGCCGGGCTGCTTCTAGGAATGAACAATATAATCTGGTGGATATAAGGCTTGCTAGATGGATTTAAGAATTGTAAAAATATTAATAGTGATGAATTCTCTTTAACTTCAACGTAGTTGTATTAGCTTCTGCCAAATGCCGGCGCGCACAAGGGATCTTCCCACTTTTTTTTTTTTTTGGGTTGCCAAATGCCTTTCTGGAATCTTAATTTGTACTATTTAAAGCATATGTATGATTTTCAAGAAGAGCTACGATCTTTTTGCCTTGTCTTTTAGCTTTTGGTCCCTAATAGGCTAATAGTGCCATTAAGATTTGCACTACAAACTTTTGATTGTCTATGTTTTTTCTCGTCAGGCTAGTTACTGACAGAGAAACTGGAAAGCCCAGGGGTTATGGATTCTGTGAATACAAGGATGAAGAAACTGCCCTGAGTGCTCGCCGTAATCTCCAGGGATATGAGATCAATGGTCGCCAATTAAGAATTGATTTTGCTGAGAATGATAAAAATGCTGACAAGAATCGTGGACAAGTAAGATGTTTGGATGTCTAAAATAGATTTAACTCAATTATTATCTTGACACTGGTTTCTAGTGGGCATTGTTCCTCTGTAATGATCTCTTTATGCTCTGCTTATTTGAATTTAAAGTTTATTAAAAAAATTTGGAGCTTTATATTTTATGACACTCTAGGGTTGGCTATTAATATAGTATTTGAGTAAATGTGATACGAACCCGTATCAAGCCGCAGGTCCGGTCCTATCATTTTATAGGCCCAGGGCGTAAAAACAAAAATGGGCCCTGTATTAAATTAATATATATTTTTATAATTAAAATTCAAATTAAATAAGAGAAAATACTAATGTCAAATAACTTGAAGATTCACAAGTTTGTAACAATTATAAATACACATGAAAACAATTCTAGATGCATTCCTAAATTCAAAATAAGCAATAACCGCATTAGTACTTTCATAAATAAAGAATTTAAAAATTGTACTTTTTGTCCCTAAATTTTAAGATAATTGTAAATTTCGTCCCTAAGTGTTAATCATACATACTCACTTTATAAAAATGAATAAATAATTTAAAATCAAATGAGCTTATAGAGAATTACATTATTATTATAATAAATAATAAATAATTTTTAATAAAAATTTATATATATATAAAAAAAACATACAATAAGAGAATAACATAAAATCTTAATTATTGAAAGCAATAAATAAATCAAAATACGCTAAACGTGATAAAAGATATTCATAATGAAATATAATACATAATTAATTGGATAAAATAGTTCAAATAAAAAACACATAATAAATAACACATCTTCTATATTGCTATCATATTTATAAATATTTTTCTTTTTAGTTAAATCAATTTCAAAATTTTCTAAATTAATTTGAATAAGATGATGCACAATAGGACTTCTAAACTACATTGCCTAGAAAATTCATTAAAAAAAAAAACTAAACTATTTTTAATTTTTTTTTTCATAACTAAATCACAAAATATATTACAGATACATAACTCATTATAAAATTCACAAAATAGCACATATTTTAAATATAAATAGTAAATTACTCAAATAAAAATAGATTCAAAATTTGATACGAAACACAAATCAATCTATATTATAAATCTCACTATAATTATAGAAATGTAAAAAAAATCACAAAATTACAAATTAAATTTTAAATAATACAAATTAGAAATATAAATAAATTTCTTAAGTTACAATTTTAATACTATATAATAAATTAAATTTTAAATAATACAAATTAGAAATATAAATAAATTTCTTAAGTTACAATTTTAATACTATATAATAATATCCTAAAGAGTAAGAGAGGAAAAGTTTATTGTATAGAACTATTTTTTTTATTAAAACATTAATGTATGGAAATAGAGATGCGTGTAACAGTATATACATTCTTCCAAAGTTACACAAGACTATGTGTAGACTTGATCCCTGGATCTATAACATATAAACCACATATCTTACCAACTCGGCTAACTTTCACTTTATTAACATGAGGCTATAAAAAATTATTATACATATCTATAGTATATATAAAAGGGTATGTATAGTCTGGTGGGCCCCTTCCAAGCGTGGGCCCTGGGCAAGGGCCCAGCCTGCCCTTGCCCAGGGCCGGGCCTGTCAAGCCGACACCGCTTTGAGTGGATGCAGATTCCAAAGATGGAATTAGAGGAGGGGAAAATGAGAGAGAGAGAGAGAGAGAGAGAGAGAGAGAGAGAGAGAGAGAGAGAGAGAGAGAGAGAGAGAGAGAGATTTCAGAGAAGAAAAAGATAATAATAATTCGCATGTCTTTCCCGTAGCATGCAGGGTGATTATATACTAAGTTACTCCTATTATGTTTAGAACTATGATTCTTAATTAATATGATATATTAACGTATTAGGACTAAACTAATGTATCCTATTACGAATAAACTTAATCTAACAAATGTAATCAGCCATCCATGCCGGTTTCCTTCGTTCTCTCATTGGCCTAGCAGCATGAGTTGTTTCTTTTCTTTCTCCCATTTCTTGATTTTCACCTTCTTCCACTGTGGATATACTCGTATCACTCCCCTTCCCTTCGACGACCACCTTGTCCTCAAGGTGGAGATTCGGGTACCATCGTTCCATTTCATCAGCAGCTTACCAAGTGGCGTTTTCTGGACTAGTATCTGACCATTGCACCAAGACTTGGCGTTGTATTTTTTCATTTTTTAGAACATTTCATTCCCCACAAAGTGCTAGCGGAGTTGAAATTGGTGATTGGCCCACAATTTCTTCCAGTAATTGGACCTCTATATTTTCTTTGGTTTCCATGTGTTTCTTGAGTTGTGAGACATGGAATACTGAATGAATTCTTGCTTGTGGTGGTAGCTCGAGACGGTATGCGACTTCCCCTATTTTTTCCAAGATATTGAATGGACCATAATAGCGTCGTGCTAGTTTGTTAGAGCTTCTACGTGCTATTGATATCTGTCTATATGGTTGTAGACGAAGCCAGACCTTATCTCCTACTGAAAATTTCACTTCGCTTCTTTTGGCATTGGCTTTTTGGGCTATGCGATGCTGAGCTTCCCGAAGATTGAGTTTCAGTTGCCTTATCAATCTGTCACGATCCAACAATAATTCATCTAGTGCTTGCACTGTTGTTGTGTCTTTTGTATACGGTGCTAAGGTGGGTGGTGGTCTTCTATATAATGCTTGAAATGGAGTCATTTTAATGATGTTTTGGTGAAGTTTTAGTATGTCAGGTTCTGAATTATTTTCCTTTCGTATGGTCTCTATAAGTTATGTAATTGGTTTACTTACTGTGAGGAATACTTTCCCATATGATGTGTTTGGAGTTGCCTCATCTTCTCTCCTTGAAAGAGCATCTGCTACTTTATTATTTCTGCCAGGTTTGTACTCTATTTTGAAATTATACCCCATTAATTTTCTAACATAGTGCGGTTGAGTTGGGGTTTGCACTACTTGTTGTAACAACTCCTTTAAGCTCTTATGGTCTATTTGGATGATGAAAAATCTCCCAAGTAGGTACTGTCTCCACTTTTGTACTGCTTCTACAATGGCAAAAAGCTCCATGTTATATGTTGATGAGTTTCTTAAGCGCGATCCCAACTTTTTGCTAAAAAAAAGCAATTGGTCTGTTGTCCTGCACAAGAATTGCTCCAATGCCTTCATTAGATGCATCTGTTTCTACATTGAAAGGCTTACTAAAGTTAGGGAGTCTTAAAACCGGAGTCTTTGTCATTATAGTTTTAAGGGCTGTAAATGCTTCCTCTGCCTTCTGCCCCCATTGGAATGCATCCTTTTTAAGTAAGTCAGTTAGCGGGGCTGCAATGTTGGCATAACCTTTTATGAAACGGCGGTAATATCCTGTTAGTCCCAAGAATCCCCTTAATTGTCGGATGGTTTTTTGGTGTTGGCCAGTTTATCATTACGTTAATTTTGTTAAGATCTGCATGCACACCTTCATTATCTATTATTTTACCAAGATATTCGATAGAAGTTTCACAAAATCTGCTCTTGCTCAACTTTAAGTGGAATGCATATTGTTTTAATGTGCCAAACACTTCTTGTAGGTGGTAAATATGATCCTCCAGTGTTTGGCTATAAACCAAGATGTCATCAAGATCACGATTACAAATTTTCTCAAGAATTGGTGGAGCATGCGGTTCATAGTTGCTTGGAAGGTAGACAGGGCATTCATTAACCCGAAAGGCATGACA